TCCGCTTGACTGGCCGGCAGAAGCCGGGCAGGGGCGGGGGAGGGCCTGGGAGTCACTCCCCCTGCCTGGCTTCTGCTCACAACCAAAGGCTCCCAGCTGGGAGGTGGGGCCACGATTGGCACTGGGAGCTTCTGGTCCCGTGCAAAAGCTGGGTGGGAAGGGAGGGGGTGGCTGGGAGTCCTGGCTCCTGCCCCACACCACCCAGTTTTTGGGTGCGACCACAGGGCTCCCAGTGCCAATCGCAGCCTCGCCTCCCAGTTGCTCCCCCGCCCCCACCAGGCTTCCGTCCGGTGCCCAGCTGGAAATTCAGAAAATACCGGACATAGCACATTGCACATGTCCAGTATTTTCTGAATTTTTCTACCAGACAGAGGGCGCAAATACCGGACTGTCCGGTAGAAAACCGGACACCTGGCCACCCTACTCTCCCCGACCTTGGAGCCAGGCCTGTTGCCGGCTGCTTCTGAGGCACAGCTCAGTCAGGGAGCTGCCTTAGCCCCCCTATTGCTCACTGCTCACCTGATCCCCCGCTCGACATTCCGCAACCCATCGTTTGGAAACCACTGCTCTAGGGGATCCAGCTAATCCTGGGGGTGAGGCTGTCTGTCTCAGCCCCTGCAATTGTGTGCTTTGAGCAGGGTTGTGCGTGTGGCAGTGATTGTCTCATACGCCTCGCGAGTGTCTTGAAACAGCCTGTGGGGCGCTTTCGAGCTACTTCTCTGGTTCTACCACTTGTGTGAGAATATTAACATGCTAACGCACAACAAATACAAGGCCTGTCTCTGCTTTCTCAAAACAACCCCCTCCAAAAAAATACCCTAGTAAAAGCCCTAAATAACTCCTCCTCTGAATTTCCCGTTACAAATCAGTAGTGTGTATTTATAAAAGACGACTCTTTGCAAAACAAGGCAGTCTTTCCAGATAATGCTGTCTCCTGTGGTGCTTTGCTTACTGCTTAATGTTTAAGTTGGGAAGAACTGCCAAGCTGTAAACTATAACTAGCATATTTCTGTCTCCCACACAGCGGAGAATATTGAGAGCAGATGCCTCTTGCTTCTTTTGCAGTTGCCTTGCAACGCTCCTCATTCCACTGTAAGTCCGGCGGGATAAATCCCATGCTATGTTCTTGTGAGAAATGTGTGGCGGGAACCACAGAAATACTCAAAATCAGCCAGTTTCTGTGGCTGGCTGCTTCCTGTCCCCAGCAGGGGTGTCAAAAGTTAACCGGTTATACATGTTGTTTCTTCAGTGGCTCATGCATGGTGCAGTATTGTACATCAATACATCACGGTTCACAAGAGCTGTATTGCCTGGGTGAGTCTTGTGACAGTTAGCGTTTTGCATAAAGCCCCTCCTCCTGGAGTCATGTTATTAGTTGAGACCTTCAGCTCTCTTTGGTGGCGATGTGGTGGGTGTTTTTTATTTTAAGCCAATGTCTCAGCCTCCAGGTTGTGGAGAAAAGTTTGAAAATGTGACCCAGGCTCACATCTTCGGGGACCTGACTCATAAAGTTTGAATGCTTGTGTTGGCAGGCCAGAGATACTAAGCCGCCTTACCAGATCCAGGAGCTGAACCGGTCATGGAAGGGGCACAAAATGGACAAGTATAATGTCGCACAGGAGGCAGGAAAGGCTACTGATCCCTCGCTCCGGGAACGAAAAGCTTCAATTTAACAGCCCTGTTAGGGATGTTAACGGGGAAGCGGTTACCTGGTCTGCTTACTGGGTGTTGGCTCACCGGTACCTAGACGCAGCCCTCCACCCGTGCTCTAGCCTCACCATACTCCCTTTAATCAGTGAACCCGCTAAACTTAATGTTGAACTGGATAGTTATTTAAACAGGACTTTGTATCCCTGTTTCCCATCGCAGCCCCCCCACGCTGCACCAAAAGTTGGCACAGAGCCCGAAGGGTGGCAGTGATTCCTAAACTAGACTTTTTCAGACTCCCTCCTGGAATTCCGGCATCTCCTCTGTCCTGTGCTGTAGTGGACAGCCCCAAATGGCCAAATAGCCCCAGTACTTCCTGAGTACGATGCCTTAATAGCATCGTGTGGCCCTGGGAAGACCAAAGCCCTGAGCCAAGTTCCTCCTAAAAGCCAGGAGATCTCCTAGAATGAAGCTAACAAAGATGCTGCTGCCAAACGAACGATTTCTTATTTCCATTACATTGTTGTTCTCACCCTCTTATGTGGAGGAGGACTTATGCCACTTCCTCCTTTTGTTTGCAACTTATGTAATTCATGTCAAAGACCGAGGGAAGATGGAGAGAGCAAGGAGGCGACGGCCTTGAGTCTGTCGCTCAAGAGAGCTACCCGCAACTTCTCAATCCGGGTCTAGCTGGCTAATTGAAAAACAGTCAACCAACTTGGAATGCTTAAACGTTTCAGAAGGGGGCGCCGAGTTAGTAAGTCACAAGAAAAACGTAAAAACCAACAAATAGCCTGGTAGCACTGTAAAGACTAACAAAACATGGAGATGGCATCATGAGCTTTCATGGGCACAGCTACCAGACTATTTGGGTTGTTTTAAGTTTTTCTTGTTGCAGGCTAACTCGGCTACCCCTCGGAAACTTTTGAACGTGCACGGCACAGCATTCAGCCGTATGGAGTGGAAATCTTTAAACTACACAAAGAAACTCGCACAGATCCAACCAGACATCATCTTCCTTTCCAAGTGCAAACAGATGAACATCATACAGAAGAAGCGGGCTGTGCCCACGAAAGCTCATGATACCATCTACGGCTGTGTCTACACTGGCATGAATTTCCGGAAATGCTTAAAACGGAATACTATTCCGTTTTCAGTTTTTCCGGAAAAGGAGTGTCTACATTGGCAGGCTGCTTTTCCGGAAAAGCCCTTTTTCCAGAAAAGCGTCTGTGGCCAATGTAGACGCACTTTTCCGGAAAAGAGCCCCGATCGCCATTTTTGCGATTGGGGCTTTTTTCCGGAAAAAACTACTGGGCTGTCTACACTGGCCCTTTTCCGGAACAGTGTTCCGGAATAAGGACTTACGCCCGAGTGGGAAGAGAATAGTTTTTCCGGAATAGCGGCTGATTTTGTACAGTAGAGCATGGTTGCTTTTCCGGAAATTCAAGGGCCAGTGTAGACAGCTCACAGCTTATTCCGGAAAAGTGGCTGATTTTCCGGAATAAGTGGCCCAGTGTAGACACAGCCTACATGTTTTGTTAGTCTTTAAAGTGCTACCTGACCGTTTGTTGTTGTTCTAGGATTTTTAGTTACCCAGGGATGGTTTAGATAATACTTAGTCCAGCCTCATTGCAGGGTAATGGGTTAGATGCCTCATTCAGGTCCCTTCCATTCCTACGTTTCCATGATCCTTCTCAGGACTATGGCATTTATGCTGTAATCTAACCCTCTGACCAAAATTGTGCAGCCCTTTTAAAAGGGAGCCTGTAATCATGCATGAAGTCCATGGGAGAGTTTGCATGTGCAAGAAACCAAGGGTCGTGCAACCAAGCTCTTGGTGGAATCAAAAAATCTGTGCATTTTGCAGACTCTTTAGTCACTACACCTACTAACGTCCCTCTCTCCTCTGTTTTATCTTCAAGACCCTTGCACAGGGCTGGGCTTACTAAGGGTGTGTCTAGACTACAGGGTTTTGTCGACAAAGGTGGACTTTTGTCGACAAAACTATACCTGCGTCCACACTGCCTTTGAGTAATGTCGACATAACGTCGACAAAACTCAGCAGTTTTGTCGACGTATGTAAACCTCATTCTACGAGGGATAACGCCTTTTGTCGACAGAGTTCTGTCGATAGAAGGCATTATTGCAGCTACACTGTCCTTTGCGTCCACACTGTTATATCGACAAAGCGACTTGTTTTGTCGACAGAACTGGATGTCGTCTAGACGCTCTATGTCGACATAAGTTTTGTCGACAGATTCTGTCGACAAAACGTATGTCGACGTAAGCATGTAGTCTAGACATACCCTAAGAGGCGAACTGAGGCAGCCGCTTCACGTGCCATACTGGGGGGGCGTCACTAGGACCCAGAGTGTAAAAAATGGTCTCTGTTGCTGGTGCATGTGTATTCTCTCTGCTCTAGATGCACATTACACTACTTACATTTGCTGTTCAGGCGTTTGAAAGTTAAGTGTTCCTTAAAATTTTTGAACAAGGCATTTTAAGTCGTTAGCTCTCCTTTGTTGGGGTAGGTAGCAGAGCGGTACCATGAGAGGAGTAGAACAGGAAGAAGGCAGAATTGAGACCTTTCAAAGTTTTGGCCCAAAAGAGGGGGTGTGGAGGCGTCATTTGAGCTCCCCGCCTCAGGTGCCAAAATGTTGTGGGCTGGCCCTGCCCTTGCACGACTTTCCCATCGCACTGCCACAAGCCTGCCATGCATCCCAGTTCAGCAACGAGAAACCTCTGTTTGGTGTAAATCTCTCAGCAGTAATTTGGTTTGGGATGCGCAGCTGGCAAACCTTCATGTTTGAAGTTTCCCCGGGGCATGGGGGGGGAGGGAGAGGGGGGGATAGTAAGGAGGGATAAATAAAGACACCAAATGGGTCCCCCTTTCCCTCTTTCTTGGCCACACAGAATAATTCTGTTTGAGCTGAATTTCTTTAATGAAAGCCGCTGAGAAATAATATTGCCTCTCCAAACCAAACTGCTGAACTCAACTTCTTTTACCATCGCGCATGCAAAAATTGTCCTCTCGGGATGCGGAGAGGACCCGGAGTGCCTGCCTTGCAAAAACCGGAGTCGCTAAGAGAGTGACTGGAAAGTGGCCTCGCTGGGAAGCCCTCACACAGTGTGGGAGCGTCTATAGAAAGTGCATTATGATTTATTGGTATATAAAATGAGCCGTGCGAAGAACACACAGAAACATGCCATGGGGAGAGGCACTGTCCAGTCGGTAATTTCGGGATTTAAAAACTCTCTGCGCAGCGTCGTGGCGTATCTCACAGGACGTTTCTCTCTGTCTGATTCATCCGGCAGCGTAACGTGCATGCTTGTTTTTCTGTGATTCTTTCAGATGCCCCAAGAACAGTACGCACACAGGAGCGCCATGCAGAGCGCGGAAGGCCCGCAGGTGTACAAAGTGGGGATTTACGGCTGGAGGAAGAGATGCCTCTATTTCTTTGTGCTACTCCTAATGATTTTAATCCTGGTGAATCTTGCTATGACCATCTGGATTCTCAAGGTTATGAACTTCACAATTGTGAGTAGGGGTTCCCAAAACCAGGGGTGAATTCTGGGGGAGGCCAATGGAATTTTTTTTTCAGACTTCATTTAAGATAAAGTTGCAAGAGCAAAGTGTTTGGGTTCCCGAAGAGACACATTAGGGGCTGTTAGTAATCTATTTCATCTCTTGGGGAAGGATTCTCAAGATTGTTTGCGGTTTTTTGAAGCCTGGGCATCTGAAAATCATGAGTTAGGTCTCCCAAGAGAATGCAATTGGTTGAAAAATTGCATTTTTAAAACTTGATAGATTTGGGATATTTTTTGCCTATTTTTCTCTGTGTTTGAGCTTTTCAGCTTCCCATTTTTCAGCTGTTTTTCTTGATGGCTAGAAACTTTTTTTTTTTTCTTAAATGAAAGATGAGATTCTAACATAATTCTCTCTCTCCAGAAATGGAGACTTTCCCAAAAACACCAAAATATTGTTTTACTTCTGATCAAATCATAAGAGCTGGCCACATTGCATATATTTAGATGAAAATTAGTGGAGCAGAATCTGTTTCTCGGGAGACATGAGTTTCCATCTGGTTTCCCTGTTAATACTCTAAGCAGGAATTCCCTGTTGATCGAGAACCAGATGCAGGGCCTGATCGAACACCCACCAGAGTTCAGTGGATAAACTCCTGTCAAACTTAATGGGAGTCACTACAGGGATAAACTTCACCTTCTGAAGTCAGCTCTATTTATACCCTTTTGTGAGGATTAAATTGTGCATAGATCTTTAGTTGGCCCTCTCTGCAGGAGTCGAGTTTCCCCTATAGCACACACGGAAATAAACTGAACGGCAGTGTATAGTGAAATGTTGCAGCATGAAACCCTAAATCACTCAGCAGTAAGTGCTGGTTTAAAGCCACTCACCGTTTTCAGGTTTATAAGACAGTTGAGCAGAGTAATAACAATCGGATCACTCCTTGAGGAAGAGGGAACTTTGTCGAGCGTAGGAACCACAGTGTCTTTTGGAGAAGCTCACTTAGCCCTGTCTACACTGGGGAGTTTTTTTTAAAATAACCCCCCTTATTTCAAAATAATAAGCAGAGCGTCCACACTACCAAGCCCGTTATTTTTGAAAAAATGGGCTGGTTATTTCAAAATCTGTACTCCTGCTTTCCTCGGGGAATAACACTGATTTTGAAATATTTGTTTCGAAATAGCAGTTGTGTGGATGCTTCAGTGTCGCTATTTTGAAATATCTACTCCCCCCAGTAATTCTAAGTAATTACTCCCCAGGGTTTCCTGGGGCTCTAAATCGAGGTGGCGCGTCCATATGAACGGAGTCTGCGTCGGACTAATTTTGAGGCTCCCCAATAGTGGGGGACACGCTATTTCGATTTTGTTTTTTCAGGAGTTATTTCAAACTTAGTTACTCCAAAATAGTTTCCTAGCGTAGACATGCCCGTAGAAAATGTAACCACAGAGCTAGCTATCTCACGAGAGAGCTGTAAGATCGGATTCTACCCTGGGCAGTTTCTCAGATTGGTGGGCCCTGAGGCGAGTAGCCCTTTTGAAGCATCACATCTTTGCTTTTTCCCCCTTTTTTTTCGCTCTGATCAGACCTAACCTAGATTATCTGTTTGATAGCTAGAGCCCGAGTAAATGTATTCTATCCAACGCATTATTATGCCACTATAATTTGTAGCACTCATCTTCTCGAACATTTGTACTTTCCGGATGTACAGGAAACATCAAGGCATATCGACTTGCCTGTGTGCTTTGGAAGCAAAACATTTTAAAGCGATCCTCTAGAAGACATTAGCTATTACCAGGCGTGAGCGAAGGGGGGTGAGCCAAAATGAGGAGCGATTAAAGCTTTACCAAGCTGGGTATTTACAGTGAGGGGATTAGCACTATTATTAAGTAAAACTTGTGGCTTATTTAGGAATACATTTTAGAACATGGCTGCTGGAAGATGAATATTGCTGCAGTGTTGGAAAACGGCTCTTAGCCCAGCTATTTATACCTGGTTGAGAGCCAGTGGGCTAACTCCTCAGTCTGTGCTCCAAAGAACGCTCTAGAGTTCAGGCCTGCTTTTTTCAGATTCTCAGCTTTATTTCTGAAAACGGCGTCAGTTCAACACATCAGCCATAGCTTTTCCCTAGCCAGAGTCTTTCGCTGGGGTAATCTGCCTATGAGTCCAAGTGAATCTCTGCTTCAGCAGTGGGCAGTAAGTGGCCTGTGGGTTGGACCTGGCCCATAGGCAGGTTGCTTTGGCAGGTTGACAGCACATCCACAGGTACAGTGTTCCCAGCCAATAGGAGCTGTGGGAAGTGGCACGGGATTGGACACCATTTTCTGCAGTTCCCATTGGCCGGGGACAGTGATCGGTGACCAATGAGAGCTGCAAACAGCTGTACCTGCAGACACGCAGGTAAATAAAGTGCCCATTAGCTGACTGGTCACAGGTGGGGGTAAACCCGACTCCCCTTAAAGGGCTAGCTGCTTTGCAACACTGATTTGGTACCAGCCTCCGAGTAGAATAGATTACAAGAAGTATTTATTTCATTTTCACATCTCCTAAGGTTAGTAAGCAGTGAACAGCTTGCGACAAGAAGAACACAGGCTACACATTCCGATGCCTGAAAGGGGAATTGTTTTGTAGGGGTTTGTAAAACCTACGCCCAGGTAGAAGGAGATAAGTTTGAGTCACACTGTGAAATGAAATGCACGCACACATCCGTTTCCAAATTGTGTTGCACTGAATAGGGTAAGACACAAAGCCACAAAACCCGGGGGACTTCTGTCCTTCAGAGAAGCAGCGTTTACCTTGGCTCTCAAGAATGGCAGCGTCTCAGAGGTGTGCGTGACCCAGAGGGAACGAGTCGGACTCCGAGGAAAGTGCTATTTGGCATCCGTATAGAATCGGCTCTGTTACACAGCTGTCCGAGATGGGTCTGGTTTGGAGTCTCCTCCCTGCTCCCAGGCTACTTTTCTCTGGTCTGCGAATAGGCGGAGCCAATGAGTCATGGTTCATGTGTCCACTGCTGGGCACTAACAGGAGAGGATTCCATTCGTATCGAATTCAACTGGCTCACTCTTCAATCAGTTAGGTACGGAACTGCTCACGCTGCAGTTTTTATGGCTCGCCCCCTATCGTGTGTATTCAGCAGAGAAAGCCGGATGGTTTTTTTCTCTTCCACAACACATGATCCTCCCTCCAAACGTCCACAAAGGTTGCTACAAATCAGGAAACGGGAGGGGCTTTTTAGAGATGGAGGGGGGTTGACATCCTGCCTGGATCTTTCTCCTTCTGGTGTAGCTATTCTAGCACTCTCCTCTGAAGCAGGACAATCATGTCATGTCTGGAATCCCCCAACCGACTGGGTGATTCTGCTGTGGGGACAGAACTCTTTGTCACAGGAGGAAATTCGCCATTTGCAGCAAAAGAAAAAGCCACCAGGTTTTCTGAGCGGGTAGGGAGGGATTTTTGGCCTTTGATTGGGAAGCAGGGAATGAGGAAATGGCTCTGAGGAAAGCTGGCCTGGGAGAGACCCATGGCGGTGGCAGAAGCTTTTCACAATACAGAGGAATTTTCAGCGTTTCCCAGAGGGAAAACTTAATCCTTCCTGCAGGCTCTTTGGTAGGTGTCCCCAACCTGGGGCAGTCCAGTTCTCTGACTTCCATGATGGACAGCTCTTGCAGCAGGCTGGAGCTGGTGAAAAACACCCCTGGCCAGGGGAGCTGACAGGATTGTCGGGCCCTTTGGCTATGTGGGGGCAGGGCCTCTGGCAAAAGGGGTGGGCTGAGGCTGGGAAGCCCCAGCGCTACCTGGATGGCAGGCATCTTCCTCCCCCTCCCGCCGGCCCTCAGAGCCACATGGAGCATGC